CCTCTCTCTCTCTCTCTCTCTCCTCACCCTCTCTCTCTCTGCTCGCGTCTCTCTCTTTCTGCTCACGTCTCTCTCTCTCTGCTCGCGTCTCTCTCTGCTCACGTCTCTCTCTTTCAGCTCACGTCTCTCTCTCTCTCTGCTCCTCGTCTCTCTCTGCTCACGTCTCTCTCTGCTCACGTCTCTCTCTCTCTGCTCACGTCTCTCTCTCTCTGCTCACGTCTCTCTCTCTCTGCTCACGTCTCTCTCTGCTCACGTCTCTCTCTCTCTGCTCTCTCTCTCTGCTCGCATCTCTCTCTCTCTGCTCACGTCTCTCTCTCTCTCTGCTCGCGTCTCTCTCTCTCTGCTCGCGTCTCTCTCTCTCTGCTCACCTCTCTCTCTCTCTCTCTGCTCACGTCTCTCTCTCTCTGCTCACCTCTCTCTCTCTCTCTCTGCTCACGCCTCTCTCTCTCTGCTCGCGTCTCTCTCTTTCAGCTCACGTCTCTCTCTCTCTCTGCTCGCGTCTCTCTCTGCTCACGTCTCTCTCTGCTCGCGTCTCTCTCTCTCTGCTCTCTCTCTCTGCTCGCGTCTCTCTCTCTCTGCTCACGTCTCTCTCTCTCTCTGCTCGCGTCTCTCTCTCTCTGCTCGCGTCTCTCTCTCTCTGCTCACGTCTCTCTCTGCTCACCTCTCTCTCTCTCTCTCTGCTCACGTCTCTCTCTCTCTGCTCGCGTCTCTCTCTCTCTGCTCACCTCTCTCTCTCTCTCTCTGCTCGCGACAGTAATCTGAACTTAAAAAAGTAAGTTTTTACAGACTTGAAATTTCCAGTAACTTGAATTTAAACACTTAGTTGGCAGAACTTGGAAAACTTAACTGACACAACTTAATAAGTGTAGTTCTTCAAAACTTGAAGAATTAAGTTAATGCCTTCAACTCAAAAATCCTTCGCAGCTGGTTGCTTTGAAATTTTGAGTTGAACTAACTTTATCTTTTTTACAATGTGCATGGACCAGAAGTCCAATTAAAATAATGGACAATTGCTCCTGCAGCCCTGAACAGGACATGCGAGGTGCGCGGGTCGGCCCGAAACCCGCAGTCAACCCGCGGGTCCCGCGGTTTCGGGCGGGTTGGATGCCTCAAAAATATGAGTCATGTCAGGTGCGGGTGGGTCGGGTCAGAAAGCTCCTGATCCCTATATGATATTATATATGTGAGCCACGGTATGGGAGTCCCTTGAGTACATTTGCAATCGCGCAGGGAGGCTGTTAAACTAAAAAATCATGCTGACAAACAGGATCGCTCCTTCCTGACTCCCCGCTTAAAGCCTCAGAACACTCCAGCCCGAGGACAGACGTGTGATCTAGAGAGGCACCGAGACTGATGACTGTGGGCCTCACAGCAGAGGCCTAAAGCAGGGGCCTCATTACTTTAATACTTACAGTCTGTGGTAAATACACGGGCTACACATGTGGTACACGTGCTTAGACTATATTAATATTGTATGTGTAACATTCAAAATAGATTGAGTGAATATTCCCTTTTCCTTATTTAGTGATTTGCGGAGGAGAGGAGAGGAGCAGCGAGAGAAGTTTGGCAGTTGAAATAAATGAATTACAGCTTGCTAAATTATTTGAAAGCATCTTCATTATGATTGTTATATTTATGTATTTATTATAAATGTTAGAGATGCCAGAGAAAAGGCGTCTGCTTTTTTTCTGAGTGGGAGGAGACACCAGCGGAGCCAATAGTTTCTCTTTCCATAACGATATTCTCTCTTTTTGGAAAGATCACCAACGTGATGCAAAAGTTTACGTTATATGCAGTAGTTTTAATGTCTGCGGGTTTTCCAGAGACTGGCCTGCTACAAGGAGTTGCCCGTTTAAACCAGATTGTCGATGTGCGCGGGGCAGAAACTCGCCAATGTAACCCTGCTCACAAGTGCCACCTGGTGGTTGTTTTGGTCATTGCAACGTCACTGGGAGGGGGGAAAATAAAAGACGCGTGAATCACACGTGATTCTCGTGTGATTCACGCGTGAAAGGCGACAAAACGGAATGGGACCTACTGTATATATCATTTAGTAGATTTAAATGTTTTTTATTTATTTATTCAATAATGCATTGTTTTATTTAGTGCTTTTCAGGAGACTCAAAGACGCTTCACATGTCATTATTCATTCACTCCATACACAGTGGTGATAAACTACTACTGTACCATCGGCCCCTCCGACCACCACCAGCCATTCACACACACACACACCAGACTCATTCTAGGCAATGTGGGTGAAGTGTCTCAAGTAAGGACACGATGACAGTTTGGCACTTTACAGACGCACCCCTGTGGCACCTGGTTTTCCCAGAGGTCTCCCATCACAGTACTAACAAGGCCCTGCCCTGCTTTGCTTCAGAGGTCTGATGAGATCTGGCTGACACATGCAGGTATGGCCACAATGTATTTATTATTATTTACGTATAAACATGTCTTGCATGTGCATGTTTGGTGCTAACACTAACACCTCTCCAACAGATAAAGCGCTCCATCGTGGCCCCTCACTATATCACGGTTCACCTTTCGCTGCTGCACTTTGTGGCTCGTGTGCACAGCAGTGATTTGTTCAGAGGCTCACAGTGGTCTTCCAGTGACCCACAGTCCAGTGGCCCAAAGTCCTGCTCCTACCCCTCAGCTTTGTGTCCTCTGCAGCTGTATATCACAATGTATGTACAGCTTTTAACAGCTACAGCAGCACTCAACAGTTTGACCCCTGCAATAAACAAGGGACCACTGTATAAATAAACAAGTTATTACTACACCGTTTCATGCACTAAGATACTCTCCAACCTTTTATCCGCCACAATTTGGTTCAACACGTGTCTGTTTGTTTGTATCCTTCTATGAAACGCATTATAACAATTACTGACTAGACAGTGTGATGAACGCTGGGCTACAAAGCAAGTAGAAATAAATAATTACCAAATTATAAATGATTCTGTGACCAAATCCAATTAAATCAACAGACATACCATTAGACGTCTCTCATGGGAGCGTAATCAAACAGGATTTTGCATTTTTATTATGCCAATTTTTGCAAATTCTTAAAGCAGGACGTTTAATCAGATACAGCAAATTATTGCAAAAGAGCCGATTGTTTTAACAGCCTCCGGAATCATATCAGTTTAATGAGACAAGTGAAACTAATGGTCATTGAGGGGATATTATTTAGCAGACAGCGACCAGAATCTAAAAGACTGGAGAATAGTCTTGTGAGAGGCAGCTGCAGTCTATAAGGCCAAGGAGGATGCATGGTGTAATAAGCACTCATCTATTCATGTTAATTGTGTTTCCCCCACTACAAGGATTGGTGGACCTTTCATTTTGTCCGGAGGCGGTGGTTTGTGCGAGGAGGAGGCGAGGGCCTTTTGAGGGTTTTTAGCAGTGGATTAAAACGCTCATCAGAGCTCTGTCCAAATCTCTGCAGCTCGGACGGCACACCTCCGGATGCTTGGACCGTCGGCGTCCTGCTTTTTGAAACCCATCCGGCCTCTTTTGGATAAAACGCCCAGCGTCTATGTTCCAACGTGGCTTCTGTGTTCCAACGCGGCTTTCTGGCAGAGGCTACTGTTTATCGGAACATGCAGGCTTGAGGAAATATATTGTACTTTCTATTGAGGCGCCATATACCATTTGCTTTTGAGAGGGTTTTTCAATGCAGTTACTTGACTAAAAGTTGTGGTTGTGGCTTGTTTGGTTCCATGTACAAGTAGGTCTCAACCAAGTATTGAATGCAACTATACCATTTGTTTTAGAGCTGTTAGTGCTGTACAAATCCTTATTTGATTGGTCTTTTGAGATATGGACAGATGACCCATTATTCTCTGGATCAATTACTTTTAGGCATTTAATGGCTGTAGTCCCTATTTGTTATAATTTTTGTATCTATCTGTTGTTGGAAAATTTACAAATCTGAGAAACCTTTTGTGATATTGGGCGATTCAAAAAAACTTGATTAAGATAAGAAAAGATAAGCTTTATTTATCTCACAGAGAAGAAATTTACATGTCACGTTTGGCATTTGTATTCTAACTGTTATTTTAACCATTCTATAGTAGCGTATCAAACTGTATGTATGTTGTACTTTTTTCTGTACCTGCCTATAGAGACTGCAGATGGAAATTAGCTTTGTAGCTATAATCTGTTATATTTGCATTTGTTAAATAATATGCATTGTCCCATTCAAATACATGAATAAATACACTTATGTTGTATTGTTGCATTGAAGACTGAAGCATTTTATTAGGTTTTTAATGTCTGCCATAATCTTCAAATTCAATGTCTTGCTGAAATTACAGTGTTTGAACTTTATATACAAGTATTCAGATGTGTCCAAAAAGTCACTCATTGTACTTGGGTAGTAACATACACAAAGTAATGGTATGTTTGTGATTTGTGATTTTAAGTACTAACGTGTTATTTTTCAAACTGATAAACTAAAGAAGCACAATTTTTACACAAGCTCCAGAATCCAGGACACTTTCTATACAGTGGCTTGGCTTCACCAAAAAACAAAACAAATCTTACATATTTTTCCTGTATCAACTTCTGTTAATGATTGTAGCAGTCCTCTATCATTTCTAAAGTGTCAGGGCTTCACATTCAAACTCTTTAAACGCCACCTTTAATGGCCACCTAAACTTTCTCGCACCTGTTTTAATCATTGTTCTAAACCGCTACTTTGTAAACAGCAGATACAGTTTTTTTTTTTTTTTTTTCAGTTAAAACAGCGTGCAAATTAAACCATTCTCTGGAACTTCTTTGTAAACAAACTCCTAAAACCAACAAAGAGACAAAGGCACAATTAGCCACAGCCATCAGCTCCACGTCTCTCAAGCTCTCTGTGATTTACATATGTTGATACGGCCTCTTTACAGTTTGAGGCTTTGAAACCGTTTCTCTGTAATTATCAGCACTTGAGTCAGTGAGTGGCTCCATGGCGGTGTGGGCGTTCTCATAAATAGCACCAGTGTTCCCACCTGCTCCAGTATGGTGTTGATCCGGTCCACCTCGCAGTCGATGACGAAGCGTTTCTCTTGTCTGCGGTCCATCTCTTCGATAATTCGTTTGAACTCGGCCGCGTCCGTCCCAACGCTGACCGAGCGCGCTGTCACCTGCCAGTTATTGGCCACGGCCGCCTCCATGATGGCCTGCAGGATGGAGAAGCCTGCGCACACACATGGACGAAGGAATTATGAGGATAATAAAAATAATAAAAACAATATTGCATCGGTTTTATATAACGCTTTTCAGGACATTATTCTTTCACTCTATACACAGTGGTACACATCAGACTCATTATACGGATTCATATAGGGACTGGCCTCCTTATGGGACTCTTGAGGAGCACAGGGAGAACAACAATTGTGCAGTTCATACAGTATTCTTATATTGGTTTTGTTGCACAGATGTGTGTAGTCAGATGTAGAAAGGGTCCCTGACATTCAATTAAACGAGAGCAATAACCAATAGAACCAAGTCAGACTCTGAGGACCATAGGGACTGGCCTCCTGCTGGTGCTCAGAGTCAGAACTAGACATGGTGAGGCAGCATTTCAGATTTATGCTGCTAAAATCTGGAACAATCTTTTTTGTGCAAATGAGAGACAGGCGTTTACTCTGACAATGTTCAAATCCAGGTTAAAAACGGTATAAACAGTGCTATACAAATTGCTTTGGGTTAAATCTCTAGTACAATATTTGTTGGTGAAGACCGGTCAAAGCCTTGTTATGACCTTAAGTAGCTGTGATCTCAAAGAAAATAGGCAATGCAGATATGATACTCACACTCACACACACACACATATCGACAATCCGGCGGTGTAACATTAAAGCAAAAGCCGAGATTCACATCCTCGTGATTACAATATCATTTGATTTCACTTGGCACATATTCAGCTCATGTTTAGCTCTGCCACATACTGCAGCTCTGGCACGTCCTTGCTAAGTGTGCCCTTACACGCCTGTCCCAACACGTTACAGTAAAACAATGACACATTTACATAGACAGATCGTTATGACGGCAGAAGAATGGAACCCTTCTAATAATTCAAGGGAAATATTTCCCTTAAACCGCACGCTCAGAAGCACTATGGTCAAATCGCATACTACACAATGAATATTCAGGCATTTTTTTTCCACCGGGGGGATAAATTGCATATAGTACAATCTGTAATAAAAATGGCCCAAGTCCTTTCTCTTGAATAAGGGCTACGAGCGTACACGAAGGTTATTAATGAAAATCAAGTAGAGTGCTGGTATTTCATTAAGCCGAGGACAATGCGAGTGCGAAGTCTATGGACAACGCTTTTTCCGCTCATATCTGCGTTCGTTTTTCATTGTGTTGGGAGCAGTCAAACGATAGAGAGGACAAATTAGCCTTCCAGCACCAACTTCTATGCAGTATTGTACCGTTCGCAAAATTTATCTTGATTAACTCGGACCGTGATATAGAATTCGTCCATGTACCATTGTTGACTGACCCTTTTGAGCTGATGAATTGTAAAAATATTGAAATTATATATAATGACTCATATGTTAAATACTGTTTGACTTATTTTGTTCAGCACTTTGAGTTGCCTTGTGTATGAATTGTGCTATACAAAAAAACAAGCCTTGCCTTGCCTTCTTGTATGTGTGTGTATGTATGACCTTATGTATACATGTAGGTATGTACATGTATATGTACTATAAAAGCATACAAAGCAATTTTTTTAGATAAAATGGGACTACAGATGAATTATTGCTTCTTGGCCAATTCTGGCTTTTTTGGTCTTGTTTAATTATTTGGGTGTTTTTTTTTATTGCAATGTCTCCTGGCAAACAAATCAAGCTAAAGATGAGGCAGAGTTTTCCCCACGAATGAAGACATCTGATTGGTCAATCTAGTTCGTATTTGGATTTAAAAAGGCAATCTCATTATATCAATGAGACAAACGCCAGGATCACAGAGAGCGCTAAAACCACCGATGTTTAAGCCCAAAAAGATGAGTGTGACACAAACAGTTAACTTTTCCATGTAAGTCAAGAGGAGCCAGAGCGAGTTGGAGCAAAACTTCATCCCTGAGCACATCACTATTGAGCTAGCGAGTTAGCATTGTCCATCCATATAAAGTAAAATGTGGTACCATACAATATTGTGTTAAATAACTGCATATTGTCCAGAAAAATAATTTAAAATCATCGCTGGTGTTGACATTTCTCTCGCGTATCAAGTCTTTTCATGAAATGGAGAGTGTATTTAGCAGCGTGACAACACTAGTCCTCTTTAAACAACATTAAATGATGCGAGCAGAGCGAACATCCCGTACTTTGGGCGCTGCTTGACTGTTTTTTTAAACACCATTTCCAATTGTTGGCGTTACTCAATTCGAGTACAGCTTTTTGAGGCTTCCAATTTGCTACGCACAAGACTGAGACATCACTTTTAAAAGCAAATAAAAGCTGTTGAGCCCGTCATAAACAAAATTGTGATTAAACTGTGAATATCGGCGGCTACTCCTCACAAGAGCGGAGCGGTGTATGCCTCCACCTTCTCGTCTACTGCACCTAAAGAGAGAAACTTGCTTTAAAAAAAAAATAGTGTTTTTGCATTATTCATTTTCCTCAGGCATATGCTCAGAAGAACCTCAGCACCACCGCCAGCTGGATGGCATGGCAGCATTCCCGGCAATAAAAGCTTCTCACATTAAAAGATGTCATGCAGATTAACTGGGTCAAAACCGTCTCTGTCGGTTTGGAAACAGTGGCGAATCAAGCCTGTTAAAGGTGAAAAATAAAAGCAGTGAACTTTGTATCCAGAGAATTACAATGAGGGCGCGAAGGCCATATGGCACGGAGCAGTACCGTGTATAGCTGTTTCACATGCCATTAAAGCTGGAGCACCTAACTTGTAACGATATGGAATAAAATCCATCGGACGAGTTTAGAGCTCTTAAAACGTGTTGGGTCTATCACTAAATGTCACATGCATGTATAGGGCCATAATAAACTGTTATTTTATTAGCCATTTATTCTTCCATTAATTGATTAGTCCCGAAGGTGAATATGGGATTGTTCAAACATTTGAGGAAAAACAAATTGAAAGGATTTGTTACACATTGGGTTGTTTAGTAAAAAGTACTTTGTGAACACATTTCATTCTGCTGTCATTATAGAGTCAGGGGTGCCCAAAACCTTTTGCTTCCAAGGGCCAAAGTAAAAATTTTTATAATCAAATATATATAAAATCATATAACAGCTATAAATTGGTTCTATAATTCAATATTAAAAAAATACAGCACTTAATTGGTTGCTCCTAAAAAGTTACAGACATGCCCTTTAATTTTGGCAAAAGACAGATGTGTCAGATGCACAATAGATGTAGCTAATAATAAACTAGCAATAGAATGAACTTTGAACTACAAATTAGCAGCAAAACCAAACATTTCGCATTAGAATACAAAAGTAGGTACATCACATCACAAATGATAAATTGTGACATGAGGAAACACGAGTAAAGTCTGTGATGTACACAGACATATGTCTGAAGCTGCACCATATATGTCAACAAATCACACATGTACTTACTTCCTGGTCATTAACGCACACTGACACAGGGACCAATGTGAATGTGGAGGCTCAGGCCGCGTGTTGCTCTGACAACAGCTACGTGCAGAGGTACTTCAACATGCAAAACAGAAACCAAACACTAGGGGCGCACTTCTCTGCTCGGCTTTCCTATACTTTCCTTTAAGCCCAAACGGCTCATGGGAGATGCTCTCAAATTGATGTGAACCATGAGTGAGGCATGTATCTGGATACATGAGTAAAGCACTGGACAGCACTACTCATGAAAAGTTTACTGCGCCCAAGCCACTCCAAATATTTAGTAATGTACGTACAATTTACTGAGGGCCATAAGTAGAAACTTGCAACACAGGTTGACAGTGTTTGACGGGCCAATTGAAACGTTGCGGCGGACCAGCTTTGGCCCGTGGGCCCCACTTTGGGCACCCCTGAGCTAAGTCATATAACCTCAGCATATTGAAGTCTATGTAAGAAATAAAACAATGAATATAACACTAAATTAGTCATTATTTCAATAATCGATTAGTTGTAAATAATTACTCCATTCACTTGTTACTGCCCTACATGCATGTGTTTTTAGCCTCTGCCACATGTGTATATCAGCATATTCAGTATCTCTCTCAGCTAATCAGTTTTCAGTATATAAAACGATGTTTATATATACTTATTGTAATAAGAAAAAAAAGTATTTTAACAAAATGTATTTATGAAACAAACTAAAAACTTGTTTCAGCTTTCAATGGGTTTTGTTTGTATTTACGTCACAAAAAAGAGTAAATGTGATATGATTACAGTTTAAAACACAAAAACAAGAATACAGTGTGGCTTTTATGATTTGTTGAACCTGATAAAAATGCGAAGTGACGATGTGCAGCACAGTTGTGTCCTTGGACCAGACCCTTCAGCATTCCGCCATCTGTTGGCGTGCATGTGAAATTGGACGGTCAAAGAGCTTGTAGGTGGTTCATAACATATTCTTCCTTTGGCATTGAACTTCATACAGAAACGGAAAGTTAAAAAGTCTGGTATGAGCTTTGACCAAAAATGGAAACATGAATAATTCTCTTAAATGAAACAATGGCCTGTCAATCTGATGAGAATCAAAGTCGACTTTTATTTTGCAATTGCTGATTTGTGCAGGCAGTCATCGCGTAGCCCTGGGCCATCCCTGGACTGTGTGTGAAGAGGAACAATAGAATTCATTTAAGATTCACATGAGATTCCATGCCTGCCTAGTTTTACATTTGTATGGAAATTAAGAGATGGAATCGGCTCGTGGTAAATAGTGTGTCTAGAAATGGATTAGTTTTGCTCTGCTCCTTTTTTCCCATGGAGTCAGCACTAAAGTTTGTTCCTTGATTTAGATGTTTATTTTTTTTTTTTTACTATCTAAAATTAACCAAATCCTCCAGGCAGTGCTTGAATCTGACAGCCTGGTCTTGTTGAATAAATATAAGATAAATGGCGTTTTTTTGACAGGCTTCTTCCAATCCGTCCAGCGCAAATTCACCGTCCTCTGGCGATTTCTGCCAATCGATTCGTCCAACTTCTTAACCAGTTTTACAATTCTCATAAACGTTTTGGCTGCTTATATTTATTG